CATTGAGATTAGATCCCATGTGCAGATTGTGTATTTCCCTGTCAGGAATAGCATGCTCCAGGCAGTCTTATGTGACAGTGCCCAACGTGAGTCTCTGTCAAGTGGGAGGGGGGGCCCAAGGCTCTTGCCAGAAAGCATTGCCAGACAGTGAAAGAAGCGCAGGGTCTCTACCACCAGACCACTCAGGGATGTATCTCCTGAGTAGCTCGTACCAGCCATGAAACCAGCACCATTTTTTTGCTGGCTGTCATCAGCCCCTTAGCAGTGCTGTGCCTACCCAGTGCAGGGAGGCTGTTGATCTATTTATGCTGAGCCACCCTTGCCCATCCCGCTCAGCATGACCTTCTCTGACTGGCCACATTTCTCCATGGTCTTGAGCAGGACAAGAGTTCCCTATCTTGTCCTGCCGCCAGTGAAATGCCATGGCTTGAACCTGCAGCCTTCTGCAAAGCAGGCACTCTGCATGTGAGCCATATTGGCCTTTCTCTATTTTCCCACTTTTCTCTGATTTGCTTAGACTTTAAAAACTGATAGGGCAGTTTACTTCCCTCTAGGTTGGCACATGAATGTGGATCCACCGTTAATAGAAACGTTGCTTACAATAAGACAGAAGCCATTTTTCATAGCTTTCCAGCTGACACATGCGGACAACTGGCGACTAGGAGGCTGATTGTGAAAGGTGACAATTCTTGCATTGTTGTTAGATAGATTATAGCTGCCACATTACAGCATTAAATCCTGAAGATCAAATCTCAACAGTTTGTAGAATTCTTCCAGGAAATGGAATATTGTTCTTGGTTTGAACTCTGCATGCCCTGTGTCCACCTTTATTCATATCAGGAGCTTCAGTTCTCTCCTGAGGAGCTGACAATACAAAGACAGCCCTGTATCAATCTAACTCCCGCATCTGTCTTGCAGCTTCTTCCATGTCACTTATGCTACCTAAAACTGATCCACCCGTAGCCATAGCCTCCAAGTCTGCACCTGGTTTGGGACATGATGTGGACCCACAAAGGGACCCTGTGGAGTGCCTAGATTCTTCATTTGCCTTCCAGTTGCCCAAAATTGTCTCACAACTGTTTCTCCCATTACATTTTCTCAACATGGAAATAATTCCTGCACAGGAAAATATACATTGTTTGAAGGTCAATGGAAGTGTCCTTGGAAGAGCGACACTAAAGCCTCTTCCATTTGTGTTATTTATGTACCACTGTTGCTGGGGCACATGCTAAAGAATACAACTGATTTTTCACAGTGTTGAAAATGTGACCTTGGATCATATGCAAAGGAAATTGCTGGAGAAATATGAGGAGTTGCAAAGGTGATGTGTACGGGGAAATGGCTCTTTAAGTTTGATGATGATGGTGGTGGTGATTTTAGGTCCATTATGCACAAGTTTGTTGGTGAAGAGGTAGACTATGAGAAGAGAGTAATTCACCAAACAAAAGCCAGAACAAAAAGGCTTCCTGAAAGCCAAAGCACCCCCTCTCTCCCTGGTGCCGACTTCAGTGGGAGCAAGCACCACTGAAGGTCGTGTGACACACTTCTGAGTAAAAGCATACGGGACATATGAAGCAATGTCAGAGGTTTCTCATTTCACAGATCCATACTTACACACCCATGCAATAGCAAATGGCTTTTCTTTAAAGCCAGACAGGACACTTCCTCATTGTAGGTGGCTGACCCTGCTGAGTCTGGTCGTCTTCCCTCCAGAGGAGTGCCAGAAGCTTAATACATGCTGAAAGACACTCTGAAGGGAGCGGGTATTAAAAAGTCATGATATAACTGGTTAGAAGAAATCCAAGATATAATGGCAGGAATACATGAGGTCAGTTTGGGATGTGTACCATGGGACACACCAGTGAGTCTGGCATCACAATGCTGGTAAAAATCTCTAGAGTAAATTCTCCTTTTGTTGCTACAGTTGCATGGGTCAGATGACCTCTGTGTAGGATGATGCGCACCAGGCAGACTTTGCTCCTCTTCCTTATCCATCTGTCCCTTTCCAGAATGATAAGGAACCCAGCCCCAGGTGGCTTCATTGCTCCAGGGGACAGGCCTTCCTGCTTAGTCATTTGGGAACCTCCCTTTAATGGTACTTTTGTTGATTCAGCCTCCCTCTGTCCTGACAACAGGACAGTATGCTGTTCTTATGGAATGAGTGAGGCAAGGGAATGGACCTGGTAAGATGGACAGGTGTGCAACTGATCACAGCGGTTTCTTCTGGGTGCTTTCTTTCTGTGCTAATATTCTTTATATGCAGAGAAGAGGACCATGTGAAATGGTTCTCAGATCCGAAAAATAAATATGGTTGTTGGTTGTTTTGGTTGCTTTTAAAGGAGAAGAAAGGAAGGATCTTGCCTTGAGCAGTGAGACTCTCTCTCTCTCTCTCTCTCTCTCTCTCTCTCTCTCTCTCTCTCTCTGTGTGTGTGTGTGTGTGTGTGTGTGTGTGTGTGTACAGCTGATAGGCAATCTATATTTGTATCCATGCGCACAACATATGTGTTTCAAGTGAACCAAAAAGTACTCAAACATGTGGCCAGAAGTGACTCTACTGCTACTCATTAGGTGTTTAAGAAAACCCAGAGTCAGATGAATATCCCTGAACTGGCACTATATGTATACAAGCATGCAATAATTTTCATTCAGTAAATAGAGTATAATAAATTTTTTAAAAACCTTATTTTTCCCAGGGCTGAGGAATGTTCTGAAGCAGATTTTCAGGTAGCGCAGAGAACTAAAGGAGGGGAAAGGTTAAAGGGATGTCACCCTAGTAGACTTTTGCTGGGGCAATGTTTCATTTAGCCCAGTGCTAAAAGTGAAACGAAGCTTCAACAAACCGAAGAGACTCATAACATGATGCAGGCCAGTAGGGCTGTTCCTCAGTCAGGGTAACGTCCATTAGTCACTGGTGCCCTTACCAAAGTTTTGCCAGAATTTGTGACAGAGGACACCCAAACCCTTGCATCCAGCACAAAGAGGATCAAGCAGCACCCAAGCCAGGAGGTTCCCCAAGGCTCCAACAATTCTTGTGAACCACCAGCTGCTGAGCTTGATTAGCAGGGTTTCCTACCCTTTGACTTGTAGCAGTGTCTGTTTGGAAATGGGTTTGTTAGAAAGCCTGTCTAGGAACCTTGGGAACTGTCCTTCAGGGTGGTGGAAAAATGAAATTAAGCTACGAGCCCTATAATTACAAGTAGTGAAATGGCACACCCTAGGAAGAACCTCCCAGGAGATCTGTGCACTTAGGTGCTATTTTAAGGATTAAGCTGTGTTGTCATCTGTATTTGTGATTTCCTACTTTCATTGCATGTCTTGATCTTCCTTCAAATTACTCCCAGATGACCTCCCATCCAGGCAGTGCTCAAGGCTGTATCAGCTTCAGGGTAGTGTTTCATTTGCCTATCACAGATACACAAAGAGAGGGTGCCTTCAGACATCTGAAGGGCTCTGTACACATTGCCCACAAACACATTTCACCAAACCCAGATGGCCTCTTCTTTTTAGATAAAATCTTAGCAGGGGACAATTTAGAGAAAAGGGATGGCTACCTTTTTGTGTGGCCTAACGCTAACCCTAACCCTCAACTCCTTGTGTTGTAAGCCCAAGTTGGAGAAAAAGAAATGGTCACGAAGCTCAGTGTGAGGAGCAGTTGTTCAGTGTGTTTGCACCATGAATTCAGTGGTGGGTTTCTAAGTATCCTAACTTTGTCAATGCTTTCATGATGAGGCCTTGTTAGTCTCCTTTCTCTTTAAAAACACCAAAGGTGACTTACAAGAAAAAAAAATAAAGCAAAAACTTTATATAACAAAAATAGCTATAACAATTTCCAATAAATTAATAAAACTTAGCAAAACAACAAAGGGCACCACCATCCAATGTGGCTGCTGCCCAACCTTGGAGGAATGTGTGGTGTGGTGTGGTGTGGTGTGGTGGTTGGAGTGCTGGTCTGGGAGTCCCCACCTGGCCATGAAACTCACTGAGTGACTTCGGGCCAATCACTCACTGTGCACCTACCCTACCTGAGGATAAAATGGAGTGAACCTTGTGTCCCTTGCAAGAGGGGGAAAATAGAGAGAGCCAGTGCGGTGCAGTGGTTAAGAGCACAGGACTGAGACTCGGGCGATCTGGGTTCTAGCCCCCAGTCAGCCATGAGCCAGCTGGGTGACTTTGGGCCAGTCACAGACTCTCAGCCCAGCCTACCTCAGCCTACATGGTTATTGTTGTGAGGATAAGACTGAGAGGAGAAGGAGAAATATGTAAGCGGACCTGAGTTCATTTAAAGGGAAAAAGTGCAAGATGAATGCAAATAAATAAATTGTATGATAGAAATGCAATATCATCATTGCTGTCCATTTGAGTGTGGGCAGAGCATGGAGGAAAGGATTGCCTCTGTATCTGCCCCACTCTGTGAGACCAATTTTGGCCACTCGTCTTTCATCCCTGCTCACAAAGAGGAGGTGCTGGGGCACCAATAGGATTCATTATTCCCAGCAACTTTGCCTCTCTCCTCCATCCTCTGACCCGGAGTACTCTGCTCCCCAGCACCAACCATGAAATCTCACTTGCCATTTCAAAGCCACAGCCAGGGTGGAAGGAACCACACTGGTTGCTAAGGTGGAAGGAGCACACTCCACAGTCAAAATTGCAGCCCCAGAAGAGCAGAACTGAGCCTCTAGGCAGGCCAGATGATGGAGCCATGGACACAATCCAGTGTATGTGTAGGCAGAAAAAAATGCTTCAGCTCTCAGTATCTTCCAGCCATGCTGGCTGGCAAATGCTGAGATGCACAGAACATTTTTTCTGACTAAACATGAGGAGCTTTGTACCATGAAGCAGTTTGGACCCCATTTATTTATTTTATTTGTCTCTTTCTACCCATAAAATGGCAGTCAGGATAGAGATCCGTTTGGGCTTCTGTTTAAGCCCTGATGCATCTGAGAATCTGATGTTACCTTTGTACCTTGTTACCTTGTTATCTCTTTCTCTCTCTCTCCTAGGTCATCCAGGGCCTAGTATTGGGAAGATTAACTAGTCGCTATACAGAACAGACCCTGCTCATGCTGAGCGTCGTCGTCTCATGTGGAGTGGGCATTGCTATGGTAAGACCCTTGGCACGCAAGCATCTCACCCAGTTAGGCTGTGCTTGAATACTGTTACGGAGGTCATGCAGCTGAGCCTATGACAAGTTTTGCACTTGATGTGGTGTAAGGTGGCCTGTCTGTGAAGGTGACAGGCTGTTCACACATGCAACAGTCATCAAGTGATAGACATGTATCATTGATGAACAGGGGCAGCAACTTTTCTGAAGCCAAATGGTCTAAAATTCTGTACTGGTAAAGAGCATAAGCACACTGTATATATGGGATGCAATCAAATAATGGTACATAGGGTTTTTTCCCAAATACTTGCTAATAAAGAGAGGTTGCTATACATTTCCAAGGCAATCATACTGATTTGCTGAAAGCCAATATAAGGCCTGCCTGACTTGGCCCATAGTGTTTGTGTGCTTCACAGCAGGATGGGATTCTCTCACTCATCCATATAATAACATAGCCTCAAACTTGGCTGGGTAGCTAATATTTATTTATTTATTCAATTTATATGCTGCCTCACCAGCTATTGGCTCTCTGGGCGTCTTACTTCATATTAAAATCCAGAAATGGCATAAACGATACAGTGCACAACATGACAACTCACAACCGCAAAAGACCAAGCAGTAAAATCCGTAGATAAGGTATCAAAATTAAACAGAACCAAAACAGACAAAATAAAATTATAAAATAATACATATTATTCTCCCTCCCTCTCCCTCTCCCTCTCCCTCTCCAAAAATATAACATGAGTCATTAAAACCTTTAGTATACTTTACTATAAGGGTGGTGCAATAGGCAGGCAGTGCAGTTCTTTTAGCAGACGTCTTCTGTGGGCACAGCAGAGTCCTGATGCCCACCCTACTCACTGCTTTCTGCACCACCTGCAGCATCTGCAAACGGGCCCACATTATTGCTTTGACAGCGATGCCAGTGCTAAAGGAAAACAGTGTTGTTAAAATACGAATTAGGCTTTTGCTTTGATTTATACAGCAAAAAGGAAGCTTCCTAAATATCCTGCGGAAGCCCCAAGTAATTCTCCAGTGATCCTCAGGAAGGGTGGTGTAGGGATGTGGGGAGTCTAAGAATGGCTGGTTAGGACACCCACCACATGGGCCATAAAGGCAGAGGGTTGGGAACAGCTTCCCATGAGAACTGTTGATACGGAAATGCGGCAGCAGCGCCTGTTGCAAGCAAAACCTAAGAGCTGAGAAGCAAATATTCATCTCTGGGGGTGGAACACATGTTGGATCTTTTTGTGGGGAAGTAGCTATCTTGACGCAACACGGCCTGAGCATCTGAACTAACTAATAGATTTGCTGACATAGGAAAGACTTTTATGAGCTCTACAGTTCTTTCATAATGGAGACATTTAGCCAAGTTCTCAGGTTACAGATCTCCGCCACCCCTCCCCCAGTATGACTCACTTCCTCCCAGGGGCCTCCAAAACATGCAGAGCCGAAATTAACAGAGAGGCCAGCTGTGCTGAAAAGAAGCCAGCAAAGATTTAGGTAACAGATGAGGAAAAATGAAAGAAGACAGAGAGCGGCAATGAACAGAATGTGCCAAATCTCAGGCCTGAGTCAATGAGAGTTCGGCCCAATAGCTTTTCTGAAAAGCCATTCCAGGTCCAACGGCCCAGTCAACCATGTCTTCTGCAGGAAGAAATGGGGAAAATGGAGAAGGCTTGTACCTCAGTGCCACAGTGCATTTGCAAGGTCCACTCCATCTCTAGTCTGTAAAAAGAATCAGCTAGCAGGTGGTGGGAGAATTCTTCTGCCTGAAATTCTGAAGGTGATGCTGTGATTTTTTCAACTGCTGGTCCACGGACCGGGACCAGTTCACCAGAAATTTCCTGCCGGTCTGTGGAAGAGCTAATCACCCTGAATGTATTCAGAAACTTTAAAGTCCGAAATAACACAATCTTACCAATTTTTTAAATGCCAGAGGTAGTATGATTTATACAATCGTGTAATTTTGGGCTTTAAAGTTCAAGTTAAGATAACATTTTTGGACACATCTTATAGTATAATGAGTACAATGACTATAGGCAGCAGTGGGTAGGGGTTCTAGGCGTGAGTAAATATTAATTTTAAATCCTATAAAATGGGAAGAAAAAAAGCAACAAAACTTTTTAACCTTCAAAACAATAGTCAAAAGAAAATATTGATGATACTGAAAGTAGGCCAAGTACAAGTGCTTCAAGTTTAAAAGGAACATTGAAACAAAATGCATTGATACTTCAGTAGGTGCAACAGAAACCAAAAAAAAAAATAAAGGCAAGGTAACTTTGTTACGCATTGTGAAAAGGACGATTAAAAACTTGGTTTCACTGTAGCCCCTGGTAGTGAACAATTGACATGTCCCTTGTGTGTGGTATGTTCTGAAATTTTGTCAAATAATGCAATGAAACCTTCAAAACTTGCTCATCATTTGTGTTCAAAGCACAGCGATCTCATTGACAAGCCACTTGAGTTTTTTTGAAGATTACATAGCCAAATGAAAAGTCAGAAAATTCAAATGAAGAAAATGATGACTAGAGATAAATCGCTGCTTCAAGTGTCTTATTTATTTGCCCTTCAAATATCGAAAACAAAAAACCTGTTCGCTATTGGTGGAGAATTGGCAAAGCCTTGCATCTTATATGTCACTTGGGAAATTTTGGTTCCTCAAGCTGCTCAAAATCTTAAGGCTTTACCTCTTTCAGACAACACCATTCAGAGGAGAATTGTTGATGTGGTCAATGATTTTGAAGAGCAAATTGCAGAGGGGATAGAGAAATTGAAATTTTCTGCGATTGAATCTGACGAATCAACATGCATGAACAACCATGCTATTTTACTTTGCTTTGAGAGGAACACTGAAGATGAAAACTTCAGGGAAGAACTTCTTCATTGTCTTGATTTACCTGGACAGACCACTAGTTTAAGATATTTAATGCTCTTAATGAGTATTTCAAGCACGGGGCTTAGACTGGAAAAGGTGCGTCGGAGTGCGTAGGGTCAGTGCTGCAAGCATGAGTGGGCATAATTCAGGGGCCCTTGCAAAAGTAAAGGAGGTTGGGCATCCAGAAATATTGTCCACTCACTGTGTGATTTACCTGCAGCATTTAGCTGCAAATAATCTTTCTACTGAACTAAACACTGTGATGAATGATGTGGTGAAGATCATAAATGAAATTCATAATTGAGCTCTGAACGCCATGCTGTTTATTACACTGAAAGTATGGACTCGCAACACCAACATCTTCTCTATACCAAAGTAAAGTGGCTCTTGAGAGGAAGGGGTCTTTCACATCTTTTGAACTGAGCGAAGAAGTAAAACAATTTCTGTGAGAGTGGAACTCTGCATTAGTAGAGCCTTTTTTGGATGAGGAATGGATGGCTAAGCTTGTGTATATGGCAGATATATTTAGCCTTTTCAACAAACTTAATATTTCTCTTCAGGGGTTTTGCACAAACATTTTCATAGTGAGGAATAAGATGGACACATTCAAAAAGATACTGGCTCTTTGGGATAGTCATGTACAAGAAGAAGATATAGAAATGTTTCTACATTTACAAAACTTTTTGACTGCAGCTGATGTCAAACGGAAATTCATATTTAATATAATAAGTCAACATTTAAAGGCGTTTTGTCAGTCCCCAACTGTAAAAAGGTTGAAAACCACTGGGCTAGAAGACAACTTGAGGCATCTTCTGATGTTTCTCTCCAGGATTCACAATCTCTAGTCTGACTGTCGCTGAGCGACTTTAAGCCAATTACTCACTCTCAACCTTACCTGCCTCACTGGGCTGTTATTGTATGAAAAGGAGGAGGTCTGTGCAAGCCACCTTATGTTCCTTGCAAGAAGAAAAACGGTAAAGAGCTAGTGTGGTATAGTGGTTAAGAGCATGGGACTGGGACTCAGAGGATCTGGGTTCTAGTCCCTGCTCAGCCATGGAGCCAACTGGGTGACTTTGGGCCAGTCACAGTCTCTCAGTTCAACCTACCTCACAGGGTTATTGTTGCTGTGGAGATAAAATTCAAAGCAAGACAAAGAGAATGATGTAAGTTGCTTTGAGTTCTTTAAAAGAAAAAAAACATAAATAAATGCTGTCCCAGTTTTCAAATGTTTTATTCTGAATCTCACTCTAGAACAGCTGCTCAAGTCAGTATAGCTACTATCTGTAGATTTGGGGGATGCCTCAAACACAATTTACTGGAAATCTGAAAACACAAGACCACGTTAATGCATTGTTTTTCTATAAACACATGCAAAGCAGTGTAGAACCTGTACAAAATTAACAATTCTAAATGCACTTATCTATTGCTAAAAGCAGGAACAGCAATAAAACAGCAAATAGAAACCAGTAAGAACAACAAAAAGTATATTTAAAAGCTTTGTCAAACGAGACAAAGGCACCTAAATAAAGTGAATGACAGCATGTCCTGAATCTGCTGGGGAAGTGGAATGACACTAGATGGTATGATGTACCTGGGAACAGACCAAAGACATCATGACTCATATTATAATTGGGTGTGTTGCTTGTCTCTTTTGAATATAGACAGATGGGGGGTATCATTTTTTTCCTGATCTCTGTCTGATCAAGGTGCTAAAGCAAGAAAAAAATACAGTCCTCAACCATTTAAATGTGATGCATGTATTTTATCCTCAGTCAGCATATCTGAGTACACAAAAAATTGTTTGAGGAGCTTTGGGCCTGTTCACAATTTCCTTCCCTCTCAAGATTCCAAGGTATCACAAAGGCAAACCAAGAAGGGCTGCAAGAAGCAGCAATATTTCTGTTGCACAACCATGCTTTAATTTCCAAGGAATGGTAAATGCAGCTGCAGACAGAGCTTTCACGACCAGCCAGATTCCACACCTTTTGTGGGTGTCCTCCATGTTATGCTTCCATATTGATTCCATATTGATCACAGTATGTCTGTGATCTTCTGTTCATGTTTACTGACTCTCACTAAGCATCATCATTGGCAGGACAGAACAGTCACATCTTGAGCTGCTTCTTACCTGTTCTGGCTAGTATAGCGTGGAAAGGTAGACAGTGTGATACCTTGAGTAAAGTTTCTGAGGTGTCTCTCTAGGCAACAGTAAGAACCCCTACCACATACACACTCTGAAAGGATGTACTGGTCCAGAGCATGGTTCTGAGGGAGCCCCATGTCTGCCCCTGCCCTGCCAGATGGAGCCAGGCAGGACTGGAGCAGGGCAAAGGTGAAAATGCCTCCTGCTCCTCCCTTTCTTTACCAACTTTGTTCTGAGTGAGATGGGCAATGGAGTGACTTTATTACTCTCCCTCTCCTCTCTCTCCCCACTGTCCCCTTTTCCTCTCCCTGAGCTCTTCTGATGTCATGACCCTGGTAGATCAGCCATGCTGGTGCTTTCCTCATCAGCTGTGAGGCTGTGTGGGTGGGGGGAATGATGTAATTTTGGACACCACCTCCTAAGTCAGAACTTCGGTCAGAACAGTGTCTGTGGCTTGGGAGGAGTTGTCCGCAATACTCTCGGGTGCTTGGGATGATTGAAGATTTCTTCCCCAAGTGTGTGTGCTGCTGAGAAAGGAAGAGTTGACGAGGCAGCAAGGAGTAGAGGAAGCAGCCTGATATTAGGTCAGAGTATCTGTTCATCTAACCCAATACCTTACTCGCTGGGAGGATTGATGCAACACAACAAGGCAGCCTATCCCCAGTGCACCTGCCATTGTGAGAGCAGGGGGTATCCCAGGAAATCCTGTTGGAACAGCAAGGCTCCCCCATTGGCCTCTGTCAGCAGCAACAGCAGAATGGGGAGCAATGCACAGAGCGGCCGTTGATTCATGGCTAGGCAGTAGGGAGATCTGCTACCCAAAGTGGTGCCGGGTGGCAGTGGTGGGAGCCAGCTGCATTCTGCTCAGCCTTTTCTAGAGGAGACCAGTCAGAGCGCCCACCCGCTCACATCTGGCACTGTGGCCAGAAACATTTCCAGCACCAGGGATGGGATGGGCTGCTTGGGCACCTTGGGGTGACTGTCATCAGTGCTCAGAGTCACTTGGCCACTTTTTTTTTTACCACTCCTGCCAAACAGCTTTGTCAGGATTTTGGTCATCCTGGACTTAAAGTGTTCTCTGAGTTCCAACAACACTTTAAGTCCAGAATGGCTTATAAACCCTAGTCTAAACCATGGCTTTGAGGGGTGGCTTTTCAGCAGCTGGGTTTAGAAGCTACTCCCTGGGAAGCACATCCATGTTCAGACTACATCGATTCATAATAATCCATTCCCATATTCAGCACTAGTGCATGAGCTTGTCTTCCTTGATTATTTTCAGTGATAGGCATCCAGAAGGAAGCCTTTGAGCATTTGTGAATTGAGAAAATGATTACTCTTGGTAATTATGAATACTGATTTGTATTTATGGTTGGATGACATTC